AAGCGGCAAGAAAAACAACAACCATGAATGAGGATAATACGAAGTGCAGTCTTTATTTTTTAACCATCTTGAAAGATTGAGTTTTTAAGATGAGGAAAGCACTCCATCCATGTTTACTTCCGTAAACACAGAGCATGCTTGCTTGTGACGTCCTTTCCTGCGCATGCGGGACACTTAAGCTGTATGAATTCAGTTCACACAGGAGACCACATACATCTCACATATAATTGGAAATGCGAACAGCCACGCAAAAAAAAAATCGGAATTGAGCATCAAGGCCTGCAGTGTGAATGTAGGCTAAATGGGAAACAATCACAGTCCTGAACTAAACCAAGTTTCATTTTACTTTACTTTTGATTATCATTGACATTAGTTTTAGTTAAGTTCTGTATATTGGTCTCTTTGTAAGAAAGTACCTTTGATAAACAGCTCAGCTCCTTAAAGAAGGAAAGAAAACATATCGAAATGGGAGTAAATTAGCACAATTCTAGTAATAGTTGTGTCTAAGTCTTTGATATCATTGCTAAAAGGATCAGAAGCTAAAACGACTGGAACCTTGTTGTTCATTTACTGTTTTTTACCACTTTGATAGCATGTAGATCTGCAGGAGCAACTGTCTATAATGCTTGAAAAGGTAAAATATATACAGAAATAGGCAGAAATTCTGTTCTGTCAGATTTAAATACATCATTCCTGTTTTTATGTTGCACATTTTTTTCCTTCTAGAACCTTTATTTCTGCTCTTCTAGTGTAGCGTATCAGTGCCTCTTTTTAGCAAAGTCTTACAGCTTTTTGTAGTGTCGACATGCTCTGTAGCAGCTATGTGTGGCTTCTGCATACAGATTATTAATCATAAATAATCTGAGTGCTGCCTAGCAGGTGTAACCACCAGTGATGAGGTGTAAGAGCAGCTCCTCCAGAAAAAAGAAAAGAAAAAAAGCTTGCAGCTTTGATGAAACTGTGATGGCTTCACAGCATGCACCTCCGACACCAGGTGCTGAAATACTTTGACTGTTGTTTCCATCACTGAAATCTCCAATTTATGTGACTCCTGAAGGCATCGCTGTGTGATTCTCTCTGCTTCAGCATCATTCAAATATCATTACAGTGCTTTTTTAGAGCTTTTCATGCCCGCTGGTTTTGCCTAATATTTTAGATGTAGGATTAAAAACCATGAAAAGTTTCTGAATTATTGAAAAGCTAACCCTGCTTTTTATTTTTAAAGTTTAGAGCACATTGTCAGGGGGTTTTAGATGTGGTCCTGTAGAGAGTCCTTGTTTACCTGACAGACCTGACAAGCAGAACTCCTGCTTGCTTACACACAATTACCTGGGTTTTCTCCCGTTTGTCTCTTGATTCAGTAGTCAACCTTAATGTGGAACTTGAGCATTACACGCACTCACTAGAGGCCTGAGTCTGACATCATGTAATTAGTTAATAGAATGAGCATATCTGTTTTCTGACACTGCTGATCATGGCCATGTCTAGATCTTCATTACACTGAAGACCAATTCTCTGTCTGCTGAACTTCCTGTTCCAATTTTCCGCATTTCCACTGGATATGATAATAATGTGGAGGACAAGTCCTATATTCTGTCTGATAACAGATATTAAAGTTTGAAGATTGATTTCCATGCTGTTCATCAGTAAAGTTATTCCCTAACAGCCTGTTTATATTCATGCTTCTGCATCTTGTATCCTCTCCCCACTTATACATCATCTCATCTCATGTTCTTTTATTAAAAGGGACCTGAGTGCCGCAGACCTGCGCGTCTTTTCTGATTTGACTTCCGAACAAAACAGTTAAAGCGAAGCAAAAAAGGTTTCCAAGAAAACTTCTAACTTAGGCTTAATATACCAAATGCCCAAGAGTTGCAGCTATCGCCATGAGCTGATAAAGGAGCAGGTTTATTAAATTATTGTCGGATGCCAAATAAAAAATTACACAGTTGTTGGGGGAAATCTTCAAAAAGTTAGTGAAGTCTCAACTAAACATGTAATAATCTATTCAGACGCATAGATGCGTATTTAGACATGAAATGATCACAAAACTTTTCAATTATGAACACCACTAGCCAAAAATGATGGTTATGCCTTCATTATCACATTGAAAGTGTGTAAATTTCATTTTTCTGCAACTAGAAAAAGCTAATGGGCCTCATGAGAGACATTTTGATAATTCAAGACATGATGGGAATAAACCTTTCCTGCTCTGCTGCACCCATCAACTAAAGAAAAAAAAACAATGCTGCTACTAAACAGCTCTAAATGAGAGAATGAATTAGCTTTTACCATCAACAGGTGCTGCTCTTTTACAGATGTTATATTTAGAGAACTGATCGGATTATGGTGATGAAATCGTTTGATTCTCTGGGTAAGACGGTTATCCGTCGAGTTTAATATCTTGCATTGAAATGAAATCTTTATTTAAATGATCTGAAGGCACACTGCCACTGAGGCGGTGCTAATGTGGCGGAGCTGAGACTATTAAGGCATTGCATGTCAGGAATGATTAATGCTTTAATGGCAATGAGCCCGAGGTTCATCTGTAAATCTCAAACATAATTTATTTTAGTCTGGCTGCTGATTTAGTTTACTTCACAGGATCATGTAAGTTTTCTCCTGCCTGAATAAAATCAAAATGTCAAAATAAAGTTTAAAGGTAAAACGGAGGGAGGTTTTCAAAAAAAGACATGTCCATCAACTGAAACATTTGCCGTCCATCGCTCCATTTGTCATCTATTCTTCCTTTCCAAATATATCTGACCATCAGTGGAGGTATTTAAGGTCCCACTATTAAAAAAACAACAACACTGTAATGGCACACATAAATTAATTATATTTCATTGTTACGCTTTTAATTGTAAACTCTTGATATATATTTAGACGGTTGTTTTTTTAAACATGTTGCAGTCCTGATTACAGAATTAGATTTGCTTTGTTGGTGTAATAATTCTGTTTTAAACCCTCTATACACTGCACATAGCACAGACGTGTAAAAAGTCTGAATGTCCCTGATAACTGGTGGCACACGTGTGCCGCCATAATGAGACAGATTTGGATGGATTATGCACCAAGTGGTGATGAAAAATGGCAGCCAACGTGTAACTCCTCGGCAGCAGGGAGAGATCCAGCCTGTAGCTGCTCGTCCTGCCCGCATGCCCTTCACAGTTTCCTGGCAGTTTGCTGCGGGGAGCTTTTGGAAAGCTCAGAGACTCTGTCGGTGCTTTAGATCATCTGCGGCTCAAAGATATGTTTGGGCCCAACAGCCCTTGTCTTGTATTGACATAAAAGAAATTCAATAGAACAATAATTGCTCAGTGAGATGTGATTTGTGAAGGTCTAAACATATCTACACTCTTTCTCTCTCTCTGTCTCTTGTCTGCATTCTTTCTCTGTTCCTCCCTTTCTTCCTCACACCCTTTCTTGCTTCCTGTGTGAATTCGACACCCACTGAGAGCCCAGATGCCCGGCACTCTAGGATCACATAAGCTCTTACTTTGTAGTGTTTTGCCAAATGTCGGGGCTTTCCTGGAGACAGCCTCTGACTGTGAGTCAGAGGTTCATTTTGAACCCTAAAGGTCAATGTCTTTCACATTTTATCTGATGCTTGGCGATTCTGGCTTCAACAAGGAGCAGTTTAATAAATCCTGATGTCTATTATTGTTTATTTCAAAATCTTGGTGGTTGCCACAATTTTTTTTTTCTTGTGTGTGCATCTTCCTCGTTCCCAGCAGCACAGGGATTTACATTTTCCAACTTTGAAGAATCCTCACAGTGAGACACAGTCTCTTGACAAATAAACAGCAGATGCTCAAATGTCTTCTTTGACTCATGCTTGATCTTCAGTATCATGTGCCACTTTCATAAACTTGAGCTGTGTTACAGTATGCAGCACAGATTCCTGTATTTTTTGTGGGGTTTTCAAAGCTGAGTGTGATGTAATAAGTCAGTGATCCTTTGCAGCGCAGTAGGTGGACTAGGAACTGTTGCTTTGTTGAGAGCTGCATCAAAGCAATTCGAAACGTGTCAGTATTTGGATGCGCTGATGTCTCACTGAAGGTATTTTCATTATTACAGACAGGTTACGTAGATTTTCTGTCACACTGCGGTGTTATAAAGACCATCACACTGTGATTAAACTGTATTGTTTTTTTTATTCAGCTCATTCATACAACAATAATCACAACCAATGGGACCTCAAGGCATTTTATGAGACATAGAGCGCTTATTAATTTCCAGTTAAACAATCATATTCAGCTCAAATTAATTTAACCATTTTAATACAAACCAGTCATATGGCTAGCCTCAGATCTAATACATGCAGCAACATTCAGTTGATCCTTTTAATGCCAGTTTTTTTCATTATATCTAAGAGTTCCTCCTCTTGATCAAGCATGTGGGGAAGACGGAGAATAACTCCTCTATTTAAAGAGGAAAACACCCCAAGCACCATCGTTTTTAGAAACCGTCTGCTGTGACCATCTGTTGGTTAAAAGGACGAGGAGATTGGGGGGGAAAAGAAAGACATTCATCCAGAGGTGCTTTTTCATCCATGAAAGAGACAAAGCTGAACTTGGTAGCGATAAGTCAAAAAACCTTATATCTTCAAAATAAACATGTAAAAGGGTTGATGTAGACAAAAAAAATCCAGAAATCACAATGTATGATTTTTTTTAACCATTTATTTGTGTGCTAAAGCTGCAAATAAGTATCTGAACATGAGAAAATCTATGTTGATTTTTGGTACAGTAGCCTTTGTTTGCAATTACAGAGGTCAAACGATTCCTGTAGTTTTTCACCAGGTTTTCACACTCTGTAGGAGGGATTTTGGCCCACTCCTCCACACTGATCTTCTCTAGATCAGTCAGGTTTCTGGGCGGTCGCTGTGAAATAATGTCCGTTTATCTCTAGAAAACCTGATTATCTGATATAATACAATAAAAAGGATACTGTCCTTCATTTCCAGTTTCTTTAGTCTCTGCTTTCTTTATGCGCAGGCTACCAAAGAGCTGAAACAGTACGACAACAAGATCATCGAGTGCACCTTTGCTAACAACAGCTGGGTGTTCATGAGGCAGAGGGTGGACAAAAGCTTCCCCAACTCCTACGACACAGCCATGGGTGAGCTTCCATTCATCACTCGTCTGCAGTTATTTATTAAAATCTCAGCCTCTCCGTTATCTGTGCCTGTATTAAAGTGAAAAATGAGCGGTTGCCTTGTGATTAATGGCTTATTTTATCTCTGTTTTACATCAGGCTTTGCTCTGTTAGATTTCAGTGTTATGAGATTGTGAGTGTGTGAATATGTGTGGAGGTGGCAGATGTTCTGTTGTGTAAGAGCACGCAGTGACAGTCTGGCCTCCGACACTCTGCTCAGGACAAATTGTTTTCATCCTTGTCCTTTCTTTGAGCTGAGAAAAAGCTGACATTTGGCATTAGAAGTATTTTAACCTTTTTAAGTAAATACCGCTCCTGTAATAGTGTTTCCAAGATATATTAGTGGCTCAAAAACAACAAAATCAAATCAAAGTGTTTCCATAAAGCATGTTCAGGTGACTGTTCCATCTGCAGAATATGGATGCACTCAATCCTTTATTGTTAATAATGTCTGCCTCCATGATTTTCTGCTATTTGTAATGGATGGGGGCTGGAGTTCTTGCACAAAGAACATAAACTAACCTTAAAAGGTAAGTTTCTAAAGTTATAGATATCGACTTTTAATTCTAGGTCCCACATTCTCCACAACAGCTACTCTCTGAACGCTGCTAGCCTTCATACGTTCCATTTGATGTTAAGTATGTTAAACTCAGTTCAGAGGTGGCGAACTTAGAGTTTGAGTCAGTACAGACCTGTGGTGGCTTAAGAAACAAGATACAAACATGATGGCAGCACAAACCAAGTTCAGAGTTTGAGATAATTGTTCATCAATCTTGAGGTTCAGTCGGTCTGATTTTTGTCTTCAGACATGCAGTTCAACTTTTTATCAGAAGCTCTAATTTGGCTTCTGAGGGGTGGAGCCTTCTACGGTTATCTACAGTTATTGAAAACTCGTTTAAAAATCCTATTACTGTTTCATGAAAGCTTAAAAAACATCCTTTGTTTTGTGACTTAGCTGATTTAAAAGATGATCTTTGGGGAAAATATGGACCACATGTACAGGACCATGCCTCATATATCCTATACTTTAGATTTGAGATAAGTGTCTCTTCACTATACTCATGTCTCTCTCACACAGCTTTCTGAATCAAAAATAACTTCCTCACAGACAGACAGAAAGCTGCAGAGACAAATACAGTCTCTTTGTTGTGAACACCTTTTGCCCCATTTACACTACCGCTCTGAAACCGATCTGTGCAAAGTTTGGGCTGAACTTGGATCAGTTTTCGAGCTCTGTTCCTTACGACCATTTACACATCACGCCAGCATGGTTCCTTAACTTCTAGGGACGATCTACGGTACTACTGCTAGCATTGAAGGAGGGAATCAAGCAAATCAAAATGGCGGCGCCCATAACATTCAGGAAGTTATGTTTGGTTATAATTGTGATATTTCGTTGTTTGTTGAGAGTCAGACGAAGAAGGCGGCCTTTGGTAGCACCACGCTCTTTTGAAGCTATTTTATAAAATGGCTTCAAAATTTTGATTGTTGTTTACAGTTCTTCTTCTGTTTTATGGCGGTTGGGAAGCTGATGATGCTGATGTGCATTACCTCCAATTACTGGAAGCTGACTGTAAAGAGATGACGTGGTCTGCTCATGCGCTCTTTGTTATCAAAGAACTGAGCCACGACTGAACTGTGCCGAGCTCTACTGCTGAACTAGTACTAGATTTAGCACTGTCCGGTTCTATTTGCACTCACAGTTATCTCGGTTACCATGCTCAGACTGTTCTTGGCACAGTTTCAAAAGGGTAGTGTAAATGGGGCTTTGGTAAAGGTTGGAAAGGTAGCCCAAACAAAGAGGTATAAACCTGTATCGGGTACTGCAGGCTAACAAAGACCTCAACGACTCCCCGTTCCTAAAGGGTGGACCTGTTCCTCTGGTTCAGTTTGCATGTTTTCTAAGCCAAAACAAGGCTTTGTTTGGTCTACTCTATAGAGCTTGGAATTCATTGATAATTTAGACATTTTGAATTGAAAAAGCTTCCTGGATGGCAAGCGAAAGATATTCAAACTTGGAAAACGAAGTCCAGTGGGTTGTTTTTTTAACTTTTCTAAGTGGCAGACATTAAAATAAATCTGGTCAAACGGTTAAACATTTCAGTTATATAATTCCAAATTCCTGTGTTATTGCAATAAACTAGAACATTGTCATTCGACT